CTGATGATACAAATGGTCTACCTACTTATTCTCGTAGATTTCGAATGCAAACTTAGGACTAAAAATAGTGCATGAAAAATTGACGTTGCATTCCAAACCTCAGTCTTTGAATCAAATTTCTCACTATTTTGGTTCTGTCACCTCACTGTCCTGTTGACCTCGCGCATGCCCGAAAATCGAAATGTGTCATTCATTGGATAAACTGTTGCACATCGCTTTCGAAATGTCAGCCGGGAGTTCGACCTGCCTATTTATCAGACTGTCATTCGGTTTTGCACTAGAAAGCGTTAGCTGTGCACGGTACAGCAGAGCATTTCGATCGTCCACAATGTAATCTGTCATTGGAAATTGCGTTCCTGTTGGTAATTCATCATTCGTGATCGGTCACACTGTAGGTCGCCCATGGCTGCTTGTCAGTTTAGTGTTCAAATCAATTTTAATGAAATTTATTGTGGTACAAGCTATGTCGTAAACTAAAATGGTGCACTCATTTCGTTTATTTCCCATTGTAATTTCTTATCTGCGAAGGAGCGAATCTAGATAATTAGGTTCATCAATCTGGGACTTTATCCGTTTTAGACGATCAGTAGTCCATGGTCTGATGTGCGTCATTCCGCATTGTGTATCGCCACAAATTGCTTTCTTCATTTCTTTTTTTTGAATCACTTTTTGATCTCCCGTGTAAACCGTATCTGCGACTTGAGTTCAACCTTCATTTCGTCACCGTGGCGTCTGGGGGAATGCACCAAATTAGAAAGCTGATTTTCGAAAATGATTTAGTATAATATTCATGCGGTAGTTCGTTTTGTCTGAACCATTTTGGCCTTATTATTGCGTCACTCTCTGGCTTCATATGGGTTTCTATTCACCGTTGTACCAACCATTCTAGTGAATTATGTTGTTATTGCGGCCTAAATGAGCAGTGTGATTTTAAATCTTTCAAAATGGGAACTTCTTGTCGTTAGTTGTTCACTGTTCCCACCTTTTGTCACTTCAATCCGCCTTTTCTCCTTCGCCCTTAAGAGCTCTCCTATCGCATCATAGCGTAGTGAATTACCGGTCGCACTTATCGTTCATCAGCTTTTATGTATCGCAAACAAAATAAGCCAGGTTTTGACTAAATTTTGTTTACTGAACTTTCTTGATACCACCCCTTATTAGTGCAATTTTGTATATTCACTGCCGATGAGACTCAACTACGTGGAAACAGGTTCGCTCAAACAGACACGCTCAGTGTTGCAAAGAAAATATTTCTGAGGAGTATACGCAATTTAGATGCAATCATACGATGCTGGCAATATTGCCGGTTCCACACATGATAAGCAACAGCAACAACCAAGAAACTGGTCGTTTGCGTGTTTTGGCGATTTTTTATCAGTTCAGCTTTCCGGTTGTATGGTTATTTTTCGATGAGACTAATGGATTTTCATTGTCAACAAGGATTGAACCGATCTTCAGTGCTTTCTAGCACTTCAGTTCACGCTTCTTTTACTATGTATGCAATGTAAATTATCCCCTGGTCGAATGCAATAATCCACCAGTGTGCTATATCCAATTATCAAGCAGTTTGTGGACCACCGAAAAAAATTAACGTGAACTAGAACGCTTTGAAACATGGTATGCCCGATGTCGTCGACAAAATGGTGTTCAGTAACCGCTTTGATCATCGAACTGATGTCTCCAAGTGTTACAAACGCTACGTTCTGCTCACTTGATCACTGGGTGACTAATCTATTGAGTCAGTCCAATCCATTTACGATATAGGTTAAGCCACCTATGCAAGCTTGTTTCAATGTGCCCGTTCCCCTCGTTTCAGTATCCAATAAAGCAATTACGATTCTGTCGAAAACGTGCAATCTGATTGTTATCTGGTTTTCTTTCTTAGCAATTGTTTAATCTGTATTCTAGGTGCAAGCGTTCGCCCACTTCGTCATCTAGCGCCTCAACACTTCATCCATAACCTCAATTCCTGCTTTGTCCTTTCTGATACCTAATAGTTATCATTATAATTTCGTAAACGGAATTTGAAAATTATGCTCTTATTCCGCCGATTTCCTGTTACCCAGACTCATTTTGCTTAGACCCACAAATATGAATCACTGTTCGATCAGATTATTAAATAATCGACTTACATGTTCATCACTCACAACGGGGTTCTCCCTTCCTATCTACCCAACTCAGTTCGAGCGCTGGTCCAACATCCTCTCGTACAGCAGGCCAGGCCACGGATAACGCGTAAGTCGATGCGGTTCTCTTTTTGTACTCATCTATATGAGGATACTAGAGTGAATGTATACGGTATACAAGGCAACGTCATTGCTATATATATATATATATAATTTAAATTTCTGTAGTATCTGTTTCGAAAAATAAAATGATATATGGGTGGCTGCACGACATCATGCTTCCTCAACGATAAACCTATAAAATACAGGTTTTTAGTAATGTACGTTACGAGGAGATAACCGAATAAGGTATACGTTTTGAGGGTAAATTGAACAAGTTAGATGTACTCCTCATTCCCGGGCATGAATATTGTCCTTTGGTGAACGATCCACAGACGCGTTCACATTCTGTCTAGCTGAGCCTTCTGGCTCTATTTTGATCGTAAATAGTCAGCTTTTGGTTTCATTTGTTCGGCCTCCATGCTGAATTTCTCTCGATCGGTTTTCGTCATCGAGTAGGTAACCCTCGTCATCCGTTACAGCGATAGGTTACTCTACTATCATATCAGTATTGTTTGCTTTATCTAACTGTTTCGTCTAAGCCGTTGTAGGAGATTAACTGCGAGGGTATGTTCTTACTACTAAGAAAGTTTCCTTGCCTCGAGGCCGCAGTCCAATATCGTTCTGTATCACTCGGTTAGATCCCATACCACTTGGGCAAGGCTTCTTACTCGCGATGCATTTCCTCCCCCAGCGGAAATAGGTAGCCTCCTATTCTGTATTCCTGCCGCATCTCACGTGGCTTTGGATCAGAATTTTCCAGTTCTCTTAGATGCGTTAGTTGTCAGTGGCTTGTTAGCCCGGCTATCGTCTCTTAGATTGGTTGAACTGCGGCCGCACTAGGAAAAGNTGCCTATCCACAATTTACCAAGTTCTGTATTTTTCATCGTTGTTTCCATGACTCGCATTTTGTCTCAGGCTTCATGCGAGGAGTTATTGGGTGATCATTAGGAGAATTAAAGAATTTTTTCTCGGTTGCTACTACGGAAACATTAGATTTTTGTTTCTTATGCCACGTGCCTAAGCGCGCTGTCTAATGGCAAACATAGCTCTCTAGGCTGCAGCAGTCAGTCCTCGGCAATTTTCTACGTTTGTCCGCATTTGTGAGATGGCGCCTGATTTAGGTTCGCGG